TAATAATACATCGTGTAGCATAGCTCGCAACGAATGTAGTCCTGTAAATAAACGAATAAATAAATTGTGTAATAAAATTCCTCTGGCGGGACTCGAACCTGCGACCTCTCGCTGTCAAGGCGAGCGTCATAACCATTAGACCACGGAGGCTTCATGGTTAAACAAATTCAAATACCACCAGATATACTCCATTACATAATAAGTACGGCTAGAAACAAATAATAGTATACACTGAAATATAAATCAAGATAGCCGTTAACACTGTTAAATATATACATAAATCATCAAAGGAAGGTAATTACAGTGTTCGAATAAAGGACATAATAATACATCGTGTAGCATAGCTCGCAACGAATGTAGTCCTGTAAATAAACGAATAAATAAACTGTGTAATAAAATGCCTCTGGCGGGACTCGAACATGCGACCTCTCGCTGTCAAGGCGAGCGTCATAACCATTAGACCACGGAGGCTTCATGGTTAAACAGATTCAAATACCACCAGATATACTCCATTACACAATAAGTACGGCTAGAAACAAATAATAGTATACACTGAAATATAAATCAAGATAGCCGTTAACACTATTAAATATATACATAAATCATCAAAAGAAGGTAATTAATCGCTCCACTATGTGACTGGGGATTAAATCTACACGTATATGCTATAGGATTTGACAAAAAGTTGCAGGTTCGAATCCCACCAGAGACACTTTTTCCATACAACTGAATGGACTGAGCTTGATACGATTACAACATCTTGTTCCCATTTGAGCTCCGTTATAATTAATTATTATTTACCCATGTCCGTAGTTTCTCAAGTCGATGTCGTTCATAGAGTGGTTCAGGGTATATAATAGATGAGTAACATATACAGGCCTATTTGAATATTCCATTATGTATGCTAGAGTGTGTGACAATGTATGCTGCTTGTCAGTGGCGGTTCGTCATTAAAAATGATCCGTTGTGCACGTGCGTTGTGGTGTTGCGTTCCTCCCACCCCCATCATATCAATATCATATATCAATCGCTTCAATGAAGTTGATGCAGGGCAGTCGCTTATCCAGTAGTGTGCTTATACTAGCAATGTGTTAATTTTCTATCCCCATTACTTAAATCTTTACCGTTCCCCTCCCCAACCCCAGATTTCAGACTCAAAGCCGTCACTGATAACTTCAATGATGCAGCAATGATAACACTTTTAGACAGCAGCATAGCTAAGTCAGCTAAGCTAATCAACAGAGATCCACTGTTAACATTTTGTACCCAGTTCATCCCATCTGCTGCTCTCGTTTTTCATCTGGAGGGCTGAAATGCAAGACCTTTTCAGAGTGTCAAACGTAAAAACTGACTAATCAGAACAGAACTAGGAATACGCGCGCGTCTCACAAACACACGTGTTGTCCCCACTGATCTCTACTATATAAATAGCTGGATCGCTCATCTGCCAATCCTGGTACAGAAGAAAGTGAGGCCTCCGACGCCATGCTGGAGGGCCTAAGTGACGTACCAGTTTGGAAAAGTTTCTCGTGGCATTTGTTTAAATTGCAGTTAAAAATGACGATTCTTGCAATAGTTTTCAATAATAAATTTAAATTTAACGTGGGAATTTTTTTTTTCAAACCATCTGACAACTAGACTAGACTAGATTATGCTATATAGTGGAGATCAGTGGTTGTCCCACAATAAACGCACGTGTTCGCGTATGTTTTAAAAATCGTCCGTCTTGTGGGACCTTGGCAACAAAATCCAAGGGGCGGGGCTTAGTGGAAAGATCCATTGTATTCAAAACAAACAACTTGCTCAAACAGACGCAGATCAAAAACAATTAATAATAATTATACACTATTTTCCCCTTACAGAATGACATCGGTAAAGTTGAATTTATTGATTCTATTGGCTATTGGACTTTGTTTATCTGATGTCCTTGGACACCCACCATCACGAGGAGGTAGACCTAGTAGACTAGGGCAGAGACCAGGTCTACCAGAACGGAGACCAGGCAGATTCCGACCAGATAAACCAGAAATGCCCGATGGAGAACATCCATGTAGACCAGAAATGCCAGGCGGAGAACCAAATAGCACAGGTAGACCAGAAATGCCAGATGGAGAACGAACAGGCAGGCCAGAAATACCAGGCGAAGTATTACCAAGCAGACCCAGCAGAACAGACGGAGAACGACCAGGCAGATACGGTAAACCACCCGGTAGACATGGAAGACCAGGAATGCATGGTGAAGAACGACCATGTAGAACAGAAAGGCCAGATGAAGAACAAACAGGCAGAACAGAAATACCAGGTGAACCAAGTAGACCAGAAATACCAGATGGGGGACAACCAGGCAGAACAGAATCGCCTGATGCAGAACAAACAGGCAGAACAGAAATACCAGGTGGAAAACAACCAAGCAGACCAGACAACCAGTTAGACCAGTAATTCCAAATAGAAGAAAGGAAAAAGACAGAAACGAATCCTAGACAAACATTAAACGGACAAATGTAGAAGAATAAATTGAAATGTTATTTTGTTTAGACTTGCGTATCTACGAAATCATATTATTATATAAAATTATAAATACAATCAATCTCCCCCTCTAATTAAAGACCACTTTTCTGTGATCCCAAATATTCCTATTTACTGCTTGCAAAAACGTTATATAAATCTCTTTACAGAATTCCAATTTACTGCCATGTAAATTATATATGAATACGAAACTGAAATGTATCTAAAATACGCATTTGGTAAATAAATTTCATTGCAATCTGTTTCATTGTTTCCCATTTATTAATCCTTGTTTTTCTAACTTATCGACTCTCACTGGTCGTCTATAATTACTACAGTACAATAATATAGTGTGTACAATGAAAATAAATATAGCAAGGCAAAATCCCAAGTTCAAGCACTGCGTATAGAAAGGTTACCAGGATTTTGTGAGAAAGTAGGATAAAAAGATGAACAAGTAATTAAGTGCATTTGACCATGACAGTATTTCAGGAATCTAATTTCTAATTTATGGCTTTGAATCAACAGGGGAGAAAAAAAAAAACCTGTTTGGTGTATTTATGCAATAATTTAACATGAAACAACACATATATAATCATTGAGTTAATGATGTGATAACATGATTTAAAGTTTTATGCCAGTTGAGTATGCAAAAAAATCTACACCTTGCGATAATTGAGTGCAGCATGCAGACTGCCCTCTATAGGCCTACATTATGGATCATCACACTGTATACGTGCAGGACCACTCTTGAGATGGATTACGCGTTGACAGAATGCAATTTACATGCAAGAGATAATGGACCTTTCCGAAGTGTCAATCAAAATTAACAACTGACCAATCAGAACAATGCCAGGAATACGCGCGTTTCCAACATGCACACATGTTGTCCAACAAATGCATGTTCATGTGTGACCTTAGCAACAATATCCAGGGGGCGGGGCATAGTGGAATGGTCCATTATAGTGGAATGGTCCATTGATCAAGTGAGCCTGATTGAAATATGCGGTAGACCACTGCTTAAGAAATACAAAATACAAACTCTTGGATTAGCAGAATGACATGATAAACATTGAATATTATACATAGTTAAGGTTTTAATGACAATTTATTGAATTAACACTTATCCTAAAGATCAAGGTGATGCTTGCATTATCGCACAAAAAGTATTAATCAAGAACGTCATTAAAAGAAAATAAAACATTGACTACACTAAAGGAGGCAGAAGTACCAACCAAATTTGCCACGAACACAAGTGAAACAGAACGACGAGGGCGCTACATTTATGCTCTCTAAATATTATCAGCTTGTTTTCATTCATTCGTATTGCATGTTTATGTGGCCTTTTCACGCTTTATATACAAAAAGATGCAATAGACCAATAATTATATATACACATACATACGTACATGTCTTACATGTACAAAATATTAGAATTATAACATCAAGAAACATATATTGGTATAAAATTATTTTTCAACCACTTTTTTAAGTTAACAAAAAAAAAAAAAATTGCCGCAACTAATCTACAGCTGAAGCTATTGAATAACAATATTTTACGAAGCTCAGAATATAAATGCGAGTCCTAACAACTTTAGATACGTTTCAACTTAAAGAGTTTAAAAAGGCAATAATATAATGTCTGCATCAAATACCTCTCTAGCACCCTCTATGCGTGGACTTGTCAGGTATGAAAATTTGTCTCTCATTTAAAATTCATTAGTCCATTTATGGTGTAAAGGAAAAAAATAATATTGAAAATTATAACAACTATTAGAAAAGATGAAAATGAAGGAAATTTTCAAAGCTATCTTAAAAAAAAAAACAAAACCACTATAACCCCAAAATTAATGTGAAACCCATATGTTGTACCTATGTATTCATCAACACCATTAGAAAACTATTCACAAATCATTTTGTTTGTGACATTTTAAGAATTAATCAGGGACAATTGATCAATAAATTGCATTCATAAAAAAGACTGTAAATGTTAAAACAAAGTTGGGAGTTTCCAGAAAAACAAAGGTTAAAGGTCAAATGCATTTTCGTCTTTCTTCTACGGTGCACCACAATTTTACACCATTCAATTCACTATAATTACTTTGCACAATAATCAAAACTTGATGGCAACCAAACAACGTATCAAATCTTGTTTAACTACTTAAACCTAATTGCTCTCTGTTGAAAACAATGTTATACTCTCACATTAAAAAAACCTTCACAATAATATCCGCAATAAAAAAGAAATAAATAATAATTTCTACAACAATAGCAATAATATCACTTAATGTTAATAAATATTATGTTTTTATATCTGATAATAAAACTATAAAAATGTATCAATATCAAACATATTAATAATAACAATAAATATTAATATTAATAATAATGTTAATAATAATAAATGTTTACTTTTACTAATTGTTTTTTCTTTATTCTATGTAATAATCTATTGGCCTCATCTTGCTGGTCTGAATTTGGAAAAATAATCTTGGTCCAAATAGTTATATACTATATTACATTCTAAATATTGACAATTTGATAATTTTTATATCAAGGGAGATATTGTTAAAATACATTTTGTCAAAGACAGCTGAGATCATGTTGTCAATGATAGCTTAGATTCGTTTTCTCAGGCAGCAAAGGCTTTATTTTGTTAATGGTTGTCTTTTAAAATGGTAAATATTAGCAAAAACAATTCTCTAGAGTGGAAAATCCCAACTCAAGATTGTTTTTGCATTTCTTGCAGGGATATCTGTTGCAGATTGGTGAGTTTTAAGAACCCAGTTTCGTTTTGACCTCTTCAGCTAAATTCTTTCACACTCTATCTACAGATTCCCAACATGGAGTCAATTTAGTCTGTGTTTCCATATTTGTCCAAAACAGCACTCCAAGTCTTCAGGTTGAGTCGGTTTAATAAGCTTCTCGATATTCATGGTGCCACTTGTGAAAATTGATTCGGAACGCAACAATACTTCCAGTCGCCATACCAGCAATGATTGTTCTGAGGGGTAAAAATGTTACAATTAGCATTATTCTCAAATTTATCAATAAATTCAACTAATTTGTGCAAGAAGATAAAAATTAAACGGTTTGGTTTCCCAACCTCTGGGTTTCAATCCTAGATGAGTACTTCGCCTGTGTCCTTGACCAATGCGCTTTATCTGCATTGCTTCTCTCCGGCCAGGATCATAAATGGGTACCTGGTTGGGTTGTTTGTTACTGTGCCAATATGGCTGCAACACTAAAAGCATGTGGACCCAATGAACAGGGAAAAACAAATCGCTTTGTAGTTTGTTTTGTCTTGTGATTTTTTTTTTTCCATCT